TTGATTTATTTATTGTAAGTACAAAAATTATGTTTGTAGAAATGAAGACCTAGGGTAAGGTCTGCATTAGAACATCACTCCTTTAATGTTATTTTCATTGTAACATTGCACTGTGTTAGCATTTGGATTTTAAGAAGTTCTGAGAGGTGTTGATAGCTGTGTCACTGAGCTCACTTACCTATTTAAGTAACGGAGGTTACTCTTTTGGTGGGTAATATTTTGTAAATTACTACTAAAATGATCTACAGCAAATTTTCCTGACATTTTTCTGCTCACTTAATATAGGGCCATAGTGATTTGAGTCAATCTTTTGCAGCTAATTTCTTTGGCTTTGAGGTAAAAATACTTTCTTATTTGGTTGTTTTAGACTTATGATATGTTCTCTGGGCATCCGCATAACCTTCATCCTTTGACCTGGATGCTTTTGTTTATAGACAGTGCAATTCCATTAGTTTACTGCCAACCTCAAGCATCTGAAGTCATAGAATCATAGAATAGTTTGGGTTGGAAGGGACCTTTAAAGGTCATCTAGTCCAACCCCCTAAATGCCTGTGTTATGCCCCTTGGCTTTAATACACAATTAAAAAATAAATTAAAAAATAACTCCCTTTGGTTTATGTTCTTCTGTGATTTGAGCCTATATGGATCAAACTTGCATGCTTTCGTTTGCTATCGCTTTGTTGTTGTTGTTTTTAACTTGGGCTTACTCTTACGCTTCTGAGATAAGCAGTCACATAAAAAGGACTAATAAAAATTATCTATATTAAAGATTTGTTGAAATTCCTAAAAACCCATATTTTGAATTTCAGTTTCAGCATTAAAAAAATCTTCACACAAACAAAAAACCCCCACTTAGTAGTTATTTATAGAAATTATATAAAATTTACATTTTCAAAGGATCATATTTCTCTGTAGGTAAAAGGTACCATCCCAAATTCTGCCTTCTACAGCTATTTAGTGAAATTTAATGAGACAGAGACTTGGCTACAGAAGGCCTTCAAGGATAGCAGCTATGGTGATTCTGGAAAAGTTACCCAGGCAGCTAGGATAACATGGGATCTCCTGAGTCAAGTTATTGGTGGTTTTGTGGTAGATGTTTCATCCAGAAATGTTCATGCAATAGACACTCCTTTCATCTGCAGTCCACAAAATAAAGAGCTCTTTCATGCTCTATGGTAAGCAGAAGAACAAAGAAGAATGCAGCTAAGGTCATTGATCTGACAAGGTTGAATTTGAAAAAGCAAGGAAAACCAGCTGAAAGCAGTAAGGTCAGAGCTAAGAAAATGGAGTAAGGGGACAACTTCTGCTGTGCCCTTGGTTTAAGCCTGGATTTTGCTGAACTATGGTAAGCCCATGAAGATCTTGGGAAGGCACTACAGTATTTGATCAAAGAAAGTAAATAATATCATGTTGTCACAAATTTCAGCTTGAATAATTAAAAAATAGATGATATTATCTCTGTGCATTTTATGTAATGAAAAAAAATCAACTGAAGGAAATATGAAACTTTTCATATTTATCTTCATAGCCCAAACTAACAGTTACCGTGTAGTTTACAGTGAACCTTGATCAATGCGCCGTCGCTGGACTGACCACAAGGAAAGAGGTGGCACAGCCTATGCTACATAGTAAAAGATACCTAGTGGTGGATAGTAGAAAAGCAAAATGTAGAGAACAAGTCAAACACAGGGCAGCTTGCCCTTTTTGTGTTGTAACTTGCAGTGTAAATAAGTGAACGAGTGGAAGTAAACCTCTTGCAAACCTTGCTCTCCTGCACAGCTTTGACAGCTGAATCATAATCTTTCACGTAAATTGCAAACCTCTCTGCCCTTCACAGTAAATGGGAGTAAATTAGATCAGTTGCATCTAAGAAATAAAATAAAATACCAGCAATTGTAATATAGCGCTAATGGTGAGTTTTTAGTCATAGATTTTATCAGTTTATCATGATAACTTTTATTTTGAAAGCAAATACCATTTACATAAGTTGAAATACAATCTATATGTGTAATTAATAATATTCAGTGAGCCTGGAAATGCTTGGAGATTCTGTTAAGTATCTCAACACTTGCTGATTATCTCAGCTACATATTATTTCCCTTTTTATACTTCCCTGCGACCCTTGCTCTCTATTTTCTGCCAATCAGCTGCCTCTCTTTGTTCCTCTGACTCTCAGCAGGGCTCCTCTCTGTCTTCTAGTGACTGTGATATCTGAGTGCTTATCATGCTGCACCTCAGTATCCTGTTACCTCTCTCAAATTTCCTGCATAAAACCTCTGGAGGCTTATCTGGTGTGTTTGGGTGTTTATTTGAAATTTATGGATTGGTGGTATTTCCCAAATGAACTCTCCAGGAAAAAATAATAATGTCAAATACCTCTCCAGCATTCTACCCCAATTTTATTAGAATCTGGGGCTAAGTTTTGAAGTTTAATTCTGCTGTGCAGTATCAAAGAGCAATTGGCAGAGAAGACATTCTTACTTTGAAGCAGCTTTACTTAATCAGCTTGGAGGCTACCCAGAACGCTTCTTCATTTATAGCCACAAACACAAAAAATCATCCAGTTCACAATAAGGCCATGTAGCTGTATATCTAGAAGTCTGCATCTTTAGAAAGAGAAAGGGAAGTGTGCAGATAGATTTCTGTATCAGCAGATAAACAAGAGAAAATCTATGGAGTGATTAGGAAAAAAACTCCACATTTTTCCATGAGACCAAAGTAAAATCAAATACAAAATAAACCAAGTATTCCATTCATTCATGACTTTTCTCAATTGTGAAAAATTATTTGTCTCATTCAGTTCATTCAGCATCAGTTCCCCCAGAAATCCAGCCCCGTTTGGAGCTAGAATTCTTACTGTGAAGATGGGTAAATCCAATTAAAAAAATTAGGTTTTACACCTTGTGAACAATGGTGGTACCTTTCATACAACCCTTAGAAAGTTTCTTTGTTGGCTTTCATAACTTATGGCACTTGTAAGGTAATGTGAAAGAGTTTAACATGTTAAGACTGAAGGCTAAAATAATAGTATCTCACAACTCTGGTTAATGGGAAGGCACACATTTACACTGGATCAAAGAATGCTCAATTTCTTGTTACCATGTACTGACTTATTCATGTATCTGAGCTTGAGGCTTCCCTAAGTCTAAGTATTCTAGAACTCCAGTGGCAAAAGGAACAGCACCTAAATTTCTTTAATTTAAATTTAGGTTAAATTTCTCCAAACTTCAGCAGCAGTGAAATAGTGTCGATTAAGACCAGGTCATGCTTTAGTGTTGAAAATCACAGGATACAGGTCTATTGGTTCTGCTGGTATAAGAAGTCACCTCTTGGGTAGAGAAGCAGTTGAAATAAGAGCTGTTACTGTCTGTTTACTTTCCTCTGTGATGGTGTTCTTTCTGATCTGTATGATAGTATTTTTGGACCATGAGCTTTTTCAAGATCATGTTACTGAGTCAAATGAGTGCCCCTAGCACATGGTTTGATCACTGCAGAAAGTCTTAGACAGCATGCTGTAGTGTTTCAGAGCTTGATATACTCTGACCGTAGCCATCATTGTTATTTTGGTGTTATGTTACAGTGGCATCCCTAGTTTCTAGGTGGGACTGGTGTTCTTTTATGTTGGTGGTTGCACAGATCTATGGTATTTCAAATCTACGTATGTCACTTTCACATCAAGTTGAAGAGGATGTTCAAATTGACCATTTCTTCCAAACCTTTCTATAAAGCTCTGCCATTTCCCTTGTTCTTTTTTTTACCAATCTGAATTTTTTTCAACAGGGCTTAGTTTAATGACCTATTTCATATCCGACTCTGAAGAGCTGTCAGGCTATGCAAAAATTTCTGTAGTGATCTGTTCTGGATTCACTGCAATAGAAGCCATGAATGTCTGCCATTACAGCTTCCAGGAATATTTGATTACTCTAAGGAAAAGCTCTGATTCTTTATTTATCAAACAGCCCTTTGCTAACAGGCTAGAAAAAAAGTGAATCATGGGGACATGAGCATAAAACCTTTTTTTTTTCTCAAGACACATGTAAATAATGCTGTTTGAATATTGATTATCATCAGAGTTGGACCATTAGTTGTATCTGCATCATTAAAATCTGTGAATTTTTAGCAGTACATTTTAAAGATAAAAACTATTAGTGGCTTTACTAATAATTTTGACCAACTAGTTTGGGGAAGTCGATTTCAATCCTCCATGTAAAGAAATCTTTTGAGTAGCTTTTGTGAAATTCTCTGCCAAAATGGTACATTTCTTTATGGGACCCCTGACTTGCAGGCACTGCCAGATCAGAGTTCTGGTGGAGGTTAGTTTGGAGTAATGCTTTTCATAAGAGTCAAAATTCATCTTTAAAGTAAGGTTTATTCAAAATCGTTTCTTCTAAATGTCTGTGAAAATAATCTTTGAAGGATCTGGATATTTCATAGGCTGTGTAGAAGCTGATTTATGGAAAAGATTCATTCATTGGTTCCTGTGAAATTATTGTTTTCATAATACTGAGCTATTGTGGGCTATTCTGGAATTACTTGTAAATAATATTCTTTCACATTTCCATTGATGCTTTCTTAGAGATTTTATTTAAAATATAATTGTTTCATTTAGTGAGCTAGCTTTTCTATGATATTAAAAATACATAACATTTTCTATGATATAAAAAACATAAATTGGTTTTGATAGGTAAACTTGTTCAGCATTTACAGCTTTTAGCTTTTTAGTAAAGGGAGATTGCTGCATGTAGAACTGAACAAAGGGTATGTATTTCAAGATAGCTAGTGACACTTTTATTTATTCCTTTCTGTATTCTTTGTAAAACTGCATGAAGAAGAAATATTCCTTTTCAAAGAAAAATAATAGTTTTCTGAGTATGGAGTATGGTGTAGTGTGGAGTAGGGTATGGCGTGATGCAGAATCTGTTTTGAGACTATAGATAACATAGCATACAGTGAGTGGAACAGCAAAAGCTTTTATCTTTCTATTTCTTCTCTCTTTACAGATGGATCCAATTCAAAAAGCTGTAATAAATCATACATTTGGGGTTCCTCTTCCTCATCGAAGAAAGCAAATCATATCATGCAACATTTGCCAGCTGAGATTTAATTCTGATGTAAGTCGATCATTTTGTATCAGATTAGAAATATGTACTTATCTTCTAGGATGTGCCATAATTTGCATAAATTGAACCTAAATGAAACGTTATGATTTCAGTTTGTGGCTCAGCAGATGAAATGGCTGTAGGATGCTTCAAATAAACACAATTATTTGGTGGTGTTTAAACACCCGGCCAGATTTTCCCTGCGGATATACCCCTGCAAGCTCATCAACTTCCGTTGTGCTGCACAGTGTGTAAATAGGAAGATGGATTGATCTACTATTGCTAATAAGGCTGAAATATTTGCTGGGTCCTAATTCTTCTACCAGTCCTGGTTATGTTTGCCTTCCTTTTCAGACTGAAAATATTAGAAGTTATTCGGATAGACTTAGAGTCCTTGTGGATCTACCTTCCTTTTTCTACCCTTACAAAATTATCTCTGTTTAGCCAGAATTGTGTTTTAGTGTTCCTGTCCTGCCAGTACAAGCTTTTAAAGATAAAACAAAAACAAAACAGGTGATTTTTGTCAGTTGACAGTTGCCTTACATCCTGTCAGTCCTGCAGCAATGAAGCAGAGCAAACTGAACTGGAGATGGTCTCTAATATACAGAGGAAACCTGTCCCCCATAATTACCCAAGGAAGCTATGCTGTGGTGCTCCTTGCCAAAGCATACCTGATTTTTCTGGATCATTATGTGTGCAGACAAAACCTGACATAGTACAACATGTTTTCTTCTATTCTAATCTCTTCAGGAAGTTTCTTGACATGGGCATTGCTGGTGGAAACTTATCTTCCTCTACTAAATGTCTTTCATTTACTACCTGTTTTACTAATTTAAATATGGAAGTTACTTCTGCCAGAATAAAACTCTTTAAATTTAGAGTGAGGTCTAACCTGGAAATGTCCACAAGGATCCTTCCTTATCCTAGTCGTATGAAGAAGTGAAATAATTCTTGTGTGCTGCTGCTTCTTTGTAGGCAGCCATTTATGTAGGGTTTTTACCTGTTCTTAATTTAGCAATTATTTAGCAAAGCCATGAACTTGTCAAAAACTTAAATTGAACCTTGAACCTTCTTTTAAGGCTTGGCCACCTAGGGATGAAAGTAATGCAGTTCTCTTCGTTCCATTCAGCTTTATATTCCTTAGAAATAATTTTAGCGAGATCTCAGTCACAATTTCCAGACCAGTCAGCATCATGTACTTACTTTCACTGATGACTCTAGATTTTCTAGTTCATGGACTAAATGGACACCTTCCTCTTATAACATTGACATCATTCTCAAACTGGTTCAAGGAAGGGTAATACATTCTCTGGAGCTGTCATGTCCCTCACAGATAAAAATAGAAGAGTCAAATTAGGCTCTTCCCTTTAGAAGCCAGATGCTAGAATTAGGACTGTGGATACTGAGGCATTCATGGAGAGGGGACTGTGGAGACTTCTGGGCCACAGGGGATCCCACTGACTGAGCAGGCCAGCTCATCACTCATAAGTTTCAGCTTTGTCTTTGGAAAAAGCATGTCACACTGAATCATGCATAGCATATAGTTGCAAGAGACATCAAACACTTCAGTATTACATACCGAAGTGAAACACCTCCTTTCAGAGAGGGTAGACCATTTGTTAGTCTGAAAAAAGATCCAGACAAAACAGGGGATGGACACATCATTAAAATGACTTAGTCATTAGCAGATACACAACTCAGATTGATATATGGAGTGGAAAATTTTCCAGATGACAGGAGCTAGGTTCCCATACTCTTCTTTTCTGCTGCTCTTAGAAAGGATTCCAAAGAAAAGAGGGGAAAGAAGCAGTGATCGTTTTCAGTCACATACAGTGTCCAAAAAATTGCTTTCAGAAAATTCAGACTGTTCACAGAAAACTCTCGGAACAAAAGCTGTTAAGCAGATATTTAGTTTTCCCTTCATACTTTCAAGTGATAGAGGCTTGAACTCCAGTTCACCAACTCTGTTCAGTAGAAGGTTGTTCTAATACTCTACTCTCTCAAAGTAGATCAGTATCATTAACGTTATGGGATGGGGAGACCTTCTTGCTGAGTATGTTTCACTTTCCACTTTTAACAGTCACTTAATTTTTAAAGCAACCCAAGTGTTGCTGAGTGATGAAAAGGTTACAATCCATTGTTGCCCATTGATTAACCTGGGATGATATCTCTCCCCCTTTTCCCTTTCACGCAGAAGAGATTTGTGGACATCTTTATGATGGTCTCTTCTCATTCCAGTGCATATAGTTGTTACTGCTGAAAATCACAAAGTGCTCTGCTGAGGCTTTTCAAGAAATAATAACTAGTTAGAGTTCCACTGCAGTTTAGAAATGCTTTTCTGCAATGTGAGGGGAATAGGCAGAGCTAAATTTCTCTGTTGCTTGGGTAATTCTGAGTTTTTGAAGCAAAAATGTGCTAAACTAAAGATTTAATGTTGAGACTCAAAGGAAAGATTGCTTTGAAGAAAAAGAGCGCTTAGCTATCATTTTTGATAACTCTACTATATGAATGGCAAGCACACAAATTGTAACTTTTTCTATTATTATTATGAAAAAGTTTTCATTTACTGAATATTCCCACCTTTCATTTTCATCATATTTTGTTAAACATGATTTAAAACCATACCAACAATAAGTAGCTGTTCTGTTCAGAAATCTAGGGCTTTGTAGCTGTTCTACCAATATGTGTTTATTTTTAGATGCTGGAGATAGGATTCATCAGAAAGTGATGAATAGAAATTCCATTTACCTACTGCACAACAGTATTATGAAAATGTTTAGTATAAAACTGGTCTGCAAGATTTTTCATTTTTGCAGAGAATACAGAATTTTCTCCTCTTTGATGCAGAAGAGCTTTTTTTCTGGTTACATGGTACCAAAATTACATTTCAAAGAAAAATGAGAAAAGGCAGTACAATAGTCTAAAATCGTTTAGCTTCTTTCTAAAGGAGTTATCTATAAATCTTCATGACAGCTGTGTGTTCAGTATTTCTTTTTAAAATAAATCTTCTCATACAAGGGAAGGGAGGAATGAGCAAGTAGCCAAAGCCTCTCCATGCTGAGGGAAAAACATGAGAGCAGCAGAGGTAGGTTCTGTGGAGTCTGTTTCAAGCAGAGAATTTTTCATAATTTTTTTTTGCGTTGAGAAGGAACTGTATATAACATTTACATTCACATTGTGCATCCAAAAGAGGGCAAAACGTTTAAGTATGTACTTAGCTGCAAGTGCGTGCATTGCCATTTAGATTTTGGCAGTTGCTGAGAGCCGTTGCACCAGTTCAGAAGAATGTTAAATGCATGCTTTGTAGTAAACATTAAACAACTGCTAAAAGCACCCTCTAAAATGAAGTCCAGCTGACCTCAGTAGGACAACTCTGTGCTTACAGGTAGTTGTAGGAGTATGTTCTCTGCTAACATGAGCAATCACTACAAAAAAACCCAACAACAACAAGATGCCAAACACCCCATGGCTCAGAAAAAAAAAAAAGGAGCTTACTAAATTTTCCTCGTGTTTTTGGTCACCTGTGTTGACTATTTGTTCTTCCTTTGCGCAGATTTCTAATTTCATCATTTGATCAAGGTAGTGACAGTATCTGTTAACAAGGTCAATTCTTGCAAAGGAATTCTCTCTTTCTCTTCCCTCTCATTTAACACAGATGGCTGTGTGATAATCCAGCTCACCTTTAGAGAAAGGTTGAGCACTGTTTTTAGGTACTCACAGTACTTGAATTCCATTATGATACATGTAAAAATATTTTCAGAAATTATTGTTTGACTTAAATAGCAGTAGTAGTAATATTCTGAAAATCATGAGCTGAATGCTCATTATGGAGTCATTCATGGTTTTTTTACCTTGTTTTTCTACATCTCTGTAACACAAATGCACCACTGAATCCGTATATAGTTCAACTGCATGAAGTTGTCAGGATTCAAAAAGTGCTGTTCTGGTTAAAAGAATAGCGAAGGATTTTGGAGGGGATAAGGATGAAATATGGCTCCCAGTATTTTACTATGGTTCTAACTTTCATGGGGAGAGAAGCAGATTATAAGAGGACTTATAACCTATTTAGGTTATGCTTGGTATCTCGAACAAATGCTTAAAGTATCAATTTGTAAGCACCTAGGGGATAATAAGGTGATAAGAAACAGCCAACATGAATTTGTCAAGAACAAATCATGTCAAACCAATCTAATTTTCTCCTTTGACAGGGTAATTGATCTGAAGGATAATAGGGAATAAATAGATGTGATATATTTTGGCTTCAATAAGGGTTGATACAGTTCTGTGTGACAGCATTGTAAAGTAAGTAGGGGAATATGGTCCTGGTGAAATTGTTGAAAGTTGGTTGCAGAACAGATTGAAAAACTGTACTGAGAGTAGCTGTTGATGGTTTCCTGTCAAAACAAAAGATTGCTACAAGTCAGGGTCTGCAGGAGTCTGTTCCATGCTTGTTGCTACTCTAAATTTTCATTAGCAATGTGCCTGACAGAATAGAGAGTACATATACTAGGTTTGTGGATGACACCTAGATGAAGGGTGGCAGGCACTTGATGGAAGGTGGCAAGTTCAGGATTGCAGTCCAAAATTATCTTCACCAGTTGGAGAAAATAGTCTGGAATTCCAACAAGTGCAGTAAATAAAGCACAAACTATTGTGCTTAGACTGGACAAATTAAATGCACAAGTAGTAAAATGAGAAATGTCTGGCATAATGGACAAAAAGGAATTATAGAGAATCACAATCCAAATATGCATGAACAATTGCTAATGGGGAAAGAAAAAAAGAAAAAGAAAAACACCCAGCTAAACCTATTATAATTATTTTCCCCAAGAATGTTAGGTTTCTCAACAGACAGGTAAGTATTCCACAGTATTTGAAATTGGCAATGCCTCAGGTAAAGAATTATTTACAGCAGTGGTCATCACAGCTTAACAACAGCATAATTAGGTACAGGATTTAGAAGGCATCCACTAGGATGACAAGATGTGTAAAAACTTCACTCAGCTATGGAA